GCCTGGGGACTGAAAGATTCCAGGTTCGATTCCGGTCAAGGGCACCTGCCTGGGTTGAGGGCTTGATCCCCAGTTGGGGGCATGTAGGACTCTCATCATTGATGTTTCTCTCTTTCTCTCTCCCTCCCTTCCTCTCTGAAATCAATAAAAATACATTAAAAAAAAAAAAAAAAAGGATTGCTGCCCCACTTGGAGAGTTTGGACAGCCTCCTCCAGCTGTCAGCTCCTTCAGGGATAGCCTCAGATGCAGAAAGCTGCCTCCCCCAACATCACACCCTCCCCTGGGGCAGCCTACACTGGGTGACTGAGTCAGGCAGAATCTGAGGGCCTGGCCATGTCGGCTGGGCTCAGGACATTCTGATGGGCAAGGCTTGCTCCAGAGCTCTCTGCCAGGTTGGCAGAGGCTTTGGCAGGCCTCATTGCAGTCGGACTTCTCCCTTTGCCCAGTCCTGCTTTCACCCATTCCTTTCACAGGTGTTGATTCCTAATAAACATCTTTATCTCCATGTCCACTTCCAGAGACACCCGATTTGTATGAACTTCTTTTTTTTTTTTAATATATTTTATTGATTTTTTACAGAGAGGAAGGGAGAGGGATAGAGAGTTAGAAACATCCGATGAGAGAGAGAGACATCGATCAGCTGCCTCCTGCACATTCCCTACTGGGGATGTGCCTGTAACCAAGGTACATGCCCTTGACCGGAATTGAACCTGTGACCCTTGAGTCCGCAGGCCGACGCTCTATCCACTGAGCCAAACCAGTTAGGGCTTGTATGAACTTTTTTTTTTTTAAATTTATTTATTTTTATTTATTTATTTACTTATTAATTTTTTAAAATAATTTTTATTTCTTGAAGTATTACAAAGAGTATTACATATGTCTCCCTTTTCCCCGCCCCCCTGACATTCCCCCGGCCCCCACCCCCCAGTGTCTTGTGTCCATTGGTTACTCCCATATGCATGCATACAAGTCCCCGGGTTGATCCCCTAACCACCCCCCCCCCCCAAACCCTCCCCAGGCTTCCCACTGAAGTTTGACAGTCCGTTCAATGCTGCTCTGCCTCTGCATCTACCCCTTTTCATCAGTCTATACTGGTCCCCATTATCTGTCCTAACCTCACCGGGGCCTCTCGGCCTCACCGGGGCCATTTCAACCTCATGTATGAACTTCTTGAGAAGAGATTTAGATAACTGGTGGAGAATGGAGTACATAAAAATTAAGCAAGTGACAAAACAGGACAATTATTAACTCTGAGGAAACAAGAAGTTGTACAGGAAAGGAAAGTAATTGTGTCTTACATATAGCCATGTCAACAATGACTACTGAACTAACCCAAATTATATTGGCAGTTTGGGGAGGTGGGGATTGTGTGTATGGTGGAACAGGTAATGGGGAAAGAGAGTTAAAATTTTATCCCCCATAGTAGAAAATCAAGAGGTAGTGCTTAAAACAGAAACATCAAAAATGGCAAAACATGTTACTTAGAGATAATGGAAATAACTATACAGTCAGCTAAAAGAGTTGAAAATAGGTGTTTCTGGGAAAATGGAAATGGGAGAAGAGGGTCATGGACTGCCTTGTTTTCACAGAAAACCTTATACTTGTTATTTCTTTAAACTATGTGTATGTTTAACTTTGTTTATAAAAGAAGACTATAAACTTCCTGATGGCAGGGACCAGGAGTCTTATTACTGTAAAATTCCCAGCCTTCTGCACAGAGTAGGTGCTCAAAGAGTACTTGTTATTTGAATAACTAACTAGAAGTCATTCCTATACTTGAAACTCTAAATGGCTCCCCATAGGGCACAGCAAGCAATTAAGACCTTGTGAGGCCTCCAGGGACTACAGGCAGGAACTGGCCTCTACAAGCTCCTCTCCCTGCCTCTGCCTCATGCCTCTCTCAGGTGCCCACATGTACACTGTTCCTGCCTCAGGAATTTTGCATATCTGTTTCTTCTATCTGAAAAACTCTTCACCACCATCATCTGGCTCTCTGTCATAAATCTGTTGGATTTCAGCTCAAATGTCACTTCTTCCAGGAAATCCTGTCTCCCATCTTCCTTTCTTCACCAATCTAATTGGGCCATGGTGGGCCAATCCTAGGGTCCCAAAGGACTTTGCAAGCCATATTAAGGCATTTACTCTTCATCCAGACAGAAGGATTGCCAAACAGAAAAGATAAGATTAGATACACTGGTAGGTCTGAGGGGTCAGAAGAATTATGAAAAGCAGCAAGCCCTTTACTTGGGACATAGATGAACCTGGCTCAACAGTGACCTCATACTACTGCCCAGGGCACTTTCATTAATTCCATCTGGTAGTCTTTTCCACAATGGGGTAGGACCACCACTGGGGTCTCTAGTGATGGTTTTAGTGGTATATGACCAGATATTTTAAAGTAGTACGTATTTATTTCAAAAAATAAAACTTGCACATTAAACCCATTATTTCATGGCTTTATTTTTTAGGGCAAACTTAATGAAGTTTGCTGGAAGCAAATTCCAGTAGTTAACTTAATAAATTCGAGAAGTTCATCAGAAGGCCGACAGCTTCAGCAGGGCTGAAGATTTGCATTATTATTGCCTGCAGCCAGACAGCTGAGGGCAGTTCTCCCAACCTGATAATCCTTTATTGTTTACCAAGCCTTACCTTTGAGATGTATATCTGCTTTGCTATAGGGCAGTGGTCAGAAAACTGCGGCTCGAGAGCCACATGCGGCTCTTTGGCCCCTTGAGTGTGGCCACGAAGTTTCAATCGCACTGTACACGCGCCCCCCCCCCACCTCCCCCCGCCTCACATGGTATTTTGTGGAAGAGCCACACTCAAGGGGCTGCATAGGGCAAAATGTAGGAATAAAAAGCCAGGGCATCCGGAGATTCGGGGAGCTTAGTCACTAGAACTAAGTTTCCATCTGGCTCCCCCATGCCTTCTAAATTCATATTTCTTCTCTAGTCTCTTTAATCCATTTATGCACAGCCCCTTCTCCAGATTTCTGAACCCTTGTAGATGCGGAAAAGACCCCGGCAGAAGTTGATAATCAATTTATTAGCTAAAAATTGGGGGCTGAAAGGGCGAGTCGTCGCGGGGCCTGACCCACGCGGCAGCAGCGGCGGCAGGGCGGGGCGTGTGCCCTCGCCCGAGGAGATGGAGGAGGAGGCGGCGATCGCCGGCGCCCCGGGAACGAGATGGAGGACGTGGACTCCCTGTCTGGGCTGGAACTGGTCGATCTGCTGGACCCCCAGCAACCGGACTGGCCCCTGGAGCCCAGGCTCAGCTCGCCCTGGGGGGTGGGGGGGGGCTAGGACTGTGCCCTCCATCTTGCCCTGGGTCCTCCAGTTTTGGGGCGGCCGCCATGTGCTCAGGAGAGTGCCTTCTTCCCGGAAGCCCAGGCCCCTGCTGGCCACGCCCAGGATTTCTGATTCACGCCTGGCCAATCGGCGGGGCCCACAGTCCCCTCCCCTGCCCTTACTATCAAACCCACAATCCCATCAGGCCTCGCTCTCTTTCGGCCACTGGGCTACCGTTGCATCGGTGAGTGTGGTCGGGGAGCCGAACTAGTTCGAAATGAAGGACTCTTTGCTTTTGCATCGGACTGACGGGCTCCCTGGGGGTCCTGGGAACCTTGAAATCTGGGCACAACAGGGGCCTCTTCTCAAGTCAAACTCACCAATTACCTTGAAAATTCCTCCATGCCCTTTTTTGTATATACAACTTTCCTGCCTAGAATACCTTTCACACCTCCTGCTATAGAAATTCTATATCCTCCAAAATTCTATACCAGGAAAGTGGCCTTCAATTAGAGCATTTTGGCATAGTGGTTAAAAGCCAACACTTATGAGATGTAAAGTTTAGACTCTGGGTGATAATGAGGTGTCAGTGTAAGTTCATTAACTGTAACAAATGCACTACTCTTGTGTGGGATGTTGATGGCGGGCAAGGGGGTATATGGAAACTCTCTGCACCTTCTGTTCATAAAATAAAGTCTATTAAAAAAAAAACAAGAAACGGCCTGACTGCTGTGGCTCAGTGGTTGAGAGTTGACCTATGAACCAGGAGGTTTCATTCCAGGTCAGGGCACATGTCTGGGTTGTGGGATCCCTCCCCAGTAGGGGGCCTGCAGGAGGCAGGCAGGCAACTGATTATTGATTCTCTCTCATCATTGATGTTTCTATCTCTCTCTCCTTCTCCCTTCCTCTCTGAAATCAATAAAAAAAATGTATTTTTTTAGAAAGTCAAGGCTTAGAAATTCAGTTCTTAGGTGTGTGACTTTGGACAAGTTACTTAACTTCTCTGAACCTCAATTTCCTCATCTGATAGGAATAATAGTGCCTACCTTCAGAGCAGAGGTTCTCAACCTGTGGGTCACGACCTCTTTGGGGGTCGAACGACCCTTTCACAGGGGTCACCTAAGACGATCGGGAAACACATATATAATTACATATTGTCTTTGTGATTAATCACTATGCTTTAATTATGTTCAATTTGTAACAATGAAAATACATCCTGCATATCAGATATTTACATTGTGATTCATAACAGTAGCAAAATTACAGTTATGAAGTAGCAACGAAAATAACTTTATGGTTGGGGGTCACCACAACAGGAGGAAGTGTATTAGAGGGTCGCGGCATGAGGAAGGTTGAGAACCACTGCTTTAGAGGATTGTGGTTAGAATGTAATGCCGTCATGCATGCAAATGTACTCAGGAGCCGTGGCTGGTGCCGCTCAGTTGGCTGGGTGTTGGGTGTAGTCCACTGCACTGAAAAGTTGCGGATTTGATTCTGGTCAGGGCACATTCCCGGGTTGCAGGCTTGATCCCCGATCCCCAGTAGGGGTGGTGCAAGGAGCAGCCTACCAATGTTTCCCTCTAACGTCGATGTGTGTCTGTCTCTCTGCCTCTCCTTTCCTCTCTCTCTAAAAAATTCTCAGTAAATGCCTAGCATACAGTAAGCCCTCCTTAAACGTTACTTGTTATTTTCACAACGGGGAGGCAAGAATATGAGAGGACTTTCCCTACTTGTTTATTTATTTTGTAGGTGCTTAAAGCTTTTTGGTTGTTGGAGGCCTTGCTGCCTTTGAGAGGGATCATTCCCATCCACACCACGGTGAGCTGGTTGGGGGCGGATGCTGGGATTCCACACGGTCCCACGCGGATTCACAGCGGCCAGAGGATAGTGCGGGGACTGCTCCATCGTCGCCTTAGCAACCTCAACTCCAGTCCTGGACCCGGATAAGATAGCCGCATGGTCTCGGAGAGCGGGTCTTGCCGAGGGCGGTCCACCCCTTGCTCTCCAGAGCCTGGTTCCCCCAGGCCCTGAGGAGCTACGGGGGCCAGGCAGGCGCTGCTCCTGCCCGCCACATGGTGGCGGCAAAGAGCTGAGCTCCACGCCCCAGCTCGGTTGGGCCTCCTGGGCGCTGCTCCCCACCCCTGCCAGGCCAGGTCACCTGCACGCAGGCCGAGAAAACTGCTGGGTCTGAGCTCGCTCCAGCCGGGCCCTGCATTCCCCATTCTAGATCGGACGTTCCCAGATCACGTGACGCTCTCCACCCTACGACCGCTCCCGGGGGCGCCCCGCCCAGCTGCCAGCCGCGTACCTGGCGAGTACCCGGCCTGCCCCTGCTCAGAGTCGGGCTCCGAGCCCTCCGGGCCAAGATAGGCGGCCCGTCCCGCTCCCAACTTCGCCAGCCGGGGAGAAAGGCGGTGGGCGTGAGCTATGCATCCTCCGCTGCCTCCTACGGCTGCACCTTCCCTAACTTCTCTCAACGCCACGACCCTCGCCGCCCCCACGCCTTCCTAACGCGGGCCGGGGGAGGTTGATTAGGGCCAGGATGGCAATGGGGTAGCCCCGTAAACCCCAGAAGTGGACGGAGCACGCGCGGGCACGTGCAGGGGCGGGGCCTTGGAGGGGGCGGGGCCCTGGGCTCGGGTTACCGCGGGCCGAGGAGGTAGGGGAGGCGCGCGCGGGGTGCTGGGAGCGGGAACTGTGCGGAAATCGGGCTGGGCGAGGCGCAGGCCAGGGGGCAGGACCGAGGCCTGCAGGGTGGGGCGGGCACCCGGACGGGGGTTTAGGCAGAGGGGCCAGTTAGACCTGGGAACTGGATGGGCTAGGGCCCTGGGTTGGACTAGGGTTTGGGGCCCAAATGCGAGAAGGGCCGGGGAGGCAGGACCCCGCCCACTTTCTGGGCAGGGTTCTTGGAATCCGCCAGGAAATACTGGGACTTAATCTGGGGACTAGATCTGGAGGCCATGGTTTGTATAGAGACGGCTGGTAGGGCCCCAGTGTGTCATCGCGCTCCTATTCCCCACATTCCAGGAGCTGCTCAGGCTTGTCCCCCAGAGTGTGAGGACTCGGCGGCTCCCTCCTGCCGCGCGCTGCAGGGCGGGTCCCACCCCGAGAGCCCCGCAGGGCTCCGCTGTCTGTCCAGAGCCCTCCCTCATCTTCAGTTTCAGCAAGATTGGGGGAGGGGAGAGTCTCCGGGGCCACAAGCCTCGTCTAGAAAAATCTACAGGCTCCTGTGCCTTTTCCAGCCGCTGCCATCGTGGCTCCAGCAAACCTTACTCCTTAGCGGAGACATTAGAGGGGTCACCGCAGGGAAGGAGGAGGGAGCAACCTCAACGGGCTCCTTTCTGTTGCAGTGTTTGCGAGCGAGGACACGACCTTGAGGGCTGAAGACGGGGTGCGGCTAACCCCTCCCTCCCAAGCTCAGGCTGCATAGATAGACTGAGGTTCGGAGAGTCTTGGAGTCCTAGGCCGCCTGCCGTGCTTGTTCTGCTGACGGGACCTGGGAAACCCTCCCTGCCTGCTTTCCCCCCTTAAAATTTTTCCTTTTACCTAAAAGTAGTTCATGCGTCTTACTAAAAAAGTGAAGCCTTAGCCGAAACCGGTTTGGCTCAGTGGATAGAGCGTTGGCCCGCGGACTGAAAGGTCCCAGGTTCGATTCCGGTCAAGCGCATGTACCTGGGTTGTGGGCACATCTCCAGTGGGAGATGTGCAGGAGGCAGCTGATCGATGTTTCTCTCTCATCGATGTTTCTAACTCTCTATCTCTCTCCCTTCCTCTCTGTAAAAAATCAATAAAATATATTAAAAAAAAAAGTGAAGCCTTAAAAAATAGATTTAAAAAATGAAAAACCCTCATCTTCACTGCTGAGGTAGCTAAGGTGTTGAGTATCCTTCCAGCACATTTTTAGTTTATTTATATACTCAACACTTAAATATACATATAAAAGGGTCACACTATACATTTCATTTTGCAACTTGCTCTACTGTGGACATTTTTCATGTCATTTATAGAAATACCTTATTTTTAACAAGTTTATAATATTCCAGAATATCGGTACCCCAGAATTCATTTAGTCCTCTACTGATAGTTTGTGCCTGTGTTTATAATAATCTTTATGGTGCTTTATTTTAAATTAAGAATATGTGCTTATTTGGAAACATTTGTTAAAATCTTGATAAAGGCAAAAATATTGATAAAGAGAAACTAAAATTCACCATATTCCTATCAACTGAGACAACTCCTTTATTTTGTCAGCTATACTTTATGGAACACTTAGTATATGTCAAATACCAGGCTCAGTCATTCACGGAACAGCAATCTGAGGTTTGGAGAAATATCTCCAATGAGGCTTGCCCAAGGTCACACAACTAGAAAGTGGCAGAGCCAGGACCTGAGACCAACTTTATCTGATTCAAAGCTCTGCTGGCCGCTTGCTGTTAACATTGAGGTGTATTTCCTTCCCATCTTTTTTTCTATGCAACAGGACACAAATACTCACATGTAAATATCCATGGCTTTTCCTGCTTCCCAGACTTAGCTAAGGAGCCTGTAAGGAGAGCAGAGGGAGAGGGATAAACCTAAGCAAAAGAGTGGAGTGGCTGGAGGAATTTCCTCCCAGTCCCACTCAGGAAAAGCTAATGCTTACAGAAGGGAGGGGAGTGAGCTGGCAGAGTCTGGGTGGTCAGGAATTGGGGGAAAAGGAGTTTCGGGAGCTACTCTGATAGCGTGGACCTTTGAGGAAGAAAGAAGATTCAGGAGGATTTTGAAAGGATGTCTTGCTGTGAGGTATGCTGTGTGAAATCCCTTCGCAGTGTCTTCCAGAGACCTTTGTTTCCTGTCAGTGCTTTTTGGAGTTAGATCCATTTTTTGGGGGGGGGAAGAGGGAGCAAGAATAAGACCAGCTTTGCCGAAACCGGTTTGGCTCAGTGGATAGAGCGTCTGCCTGCCGACTGAAAGGTCCCAGGTTCGATTCCGGTCGGGGGCATGTGCCTGGGTTGTGGGCACTTCCCCAGTGGGGGATGTGCAGGAGGCAGCTGATTGATGTTTCTCTCTCATCGATGTTTCTAGCTCTCTGTCTCTCTCTCTTCCTCTCTGTGAAAAATCAATAAAATATATTAAAAAAAAAAAAAAAAAAGACCAGCTTTATTCGGGTTCACATACATTTTGTACAATATTTTTACTTTTACGAAAATGACAGCCTCTCTGCCCTTGCTCACTGGGAACCTTCCACCCAAGATGACCTGCCTTTCCCCAGTCTCTCTCTATTTCCTCCTTCCTCTAAGCTCCACCTCTTACCCCTCCTATTGGCCCGAGGTCTTTGCAAGTATAGCCCAAATTAGGACATGCGATTGGCCTCTCTACTGGTGATCTGGTAGGCCATATTAAGAGGCAATTTTGTTATCACCAGAATCTCTTTGATTACAAGAAACTCTTCTGGTTTGTTGGTTTTCTGAATCTCTTGGTGTCAAGCTGAGGATTGTGCACCAGTTACCAATCCCAGGGGAGGTCTCTAAAACCTTCTAACCCATTACATCTTGTTACCTGAGTCGCCAAGGAAAACACAGGTAGTCAAGCACTGGATGAAACAATACTCCAGCTATTTTCAACCTTTTTCATCTCATGGCACACAAAAACCTAATTACTAAAATTCTGCGGCATACCAAAAAATATATTCTTTGCAGATCTGACAAAAAACGAAAGGTATAATTTTGATTCATTCATACCAGATGGCTATTGTTGTGTTGGCTGTTGTCATTTGTTAATTTGACAATCTAAGGGAAAAGAGGTCAGTGCCTATGACTAAATAGTCAGGTCTTGCATGTTTTAAAAATTCTTGGAGCGCACTAGTTTGCCTGACATAGCACACTGGCTGAAAATCGCTGCTTTACTCACATAGAGAAGAGACAGAGCAAGATCAGCTTCAGGTCCAGCCGGTGTGCTCAGTGGTTGAACCAGGAGGTCACAGTTTTATTTCTAGTTGGAGCAAGCAGGAGGCAGCTGATCGATGATTCTCTCTCATCATTGAGGTTTCTAGCCCTGTCTTCCTCTCCCATCCTCTCTGAAATCAATGATATATATAAGATTAGCTTCTTGGGCATTGGTCCCTCATGGCCAGCAGATCTCTCCTAGTGGCTAACACAGAGAAATTTGCCTATGCTCACCTTTTTCCTGCCACAGTGGAAGGACCAACCTTGTCATCTCCCAGAGAATAAATTGAGCATTGGGGTTGGCCAGATACTGTATGACTGAAGCACATGCTTTAAGCAGAAACAAAAGACTACCCATTGCACCTAAAGGACAAGAAAAGATATTCCCACACAAAGAGTCTAGCACAGGTTGTATGGACTCTTATCTTTTGTTTAGGAAGTGTTACAGGCCCAGGGCCCACTCCTATGCAGCAGTGTGTGTGTGTGGGGGGGGGGGGGGCGGGAGGGGGGCGTCAAAGGACTGTAGACATGAAACTGCCTTCTAGCATGATTCTTGTTTCCCTCTTTGCTTTGCACACTAAAAAGCTTTGAACTTTTCCATTTCTTGATCTCTATTTTTCTCTTCCAATTTTCATAAGTAGTTCCCTTTACCCTTAGAAAATGTTTTATTATGGAAAATTCCAAACATACATAAAAGTAGAGTGAATGTAATCCACTGTCCTGTACCTGTCACCCATCTTCAATAAGTATCAACATCTGCCAATCTTGTTTCATCTACCTCCCCAATTTTCCCTCTGTCTGGAGTATCATAATGCTAATCCCAAACATTTTATCATTTCACCCAAATTATTTCATCATATATCTTTAACAGGGCTTTTTCCAACATAACTATCATACCCAACAAAATTAATAGAGTTCCCAAAAGTCATTTAATACCTAGTTTATGTTCAAATTTCTTTAATAATTTGGTTTGTTCCAACCAGGATTCAAATAAGGTTTACACATTTCATTCAGTTGATATGTCTTCAAGTGCCTTTTAATCTGTGACAGTTCCATCTTTCTTTCTTTATGAAGGCTATTTATTTGTAAAAGAAATCAAAGCACTTTTCCTGTAAAGGTTCCCACATACCAGGAGGTTGGGCTGATGGCTTCCTGGTGGGGTCGTTTACATGTTCTCTGTCCCTTGTATTTCCAGCATACTGAAAGTTAGACCTAGAGGCTTGGTTAGACTCAGGGGTAATATTTTTGGCAAGAACTGGAGGTGGTGCTATGTACTTATTATTACATTACATCTGGAGGCATATAATATTTCATTGAAATGTTTTTACTGATTGATCCATGAGTTCAGGGCTCTTAGCCAGCTTCTCTTCATTATAAAATTCCCCATCAACTTTTTATTGGTTTTTAGCACCCACTAATGATCCATTATTTCAGTAGGTGTTACAAAAATGGTAATTTTCTAATGTCTGTCACTTTTTGCATGCATTCGATGGAATTCTATAAAAAAGAACTTTTCCTCATTCATTATTTGATTTTCCTGAAATAGTTTATACAAGAAAGACAGGATAAATACTTGATTCCTCTCACGTATTTTTATAATTTGCCTGAGCTCCTTTGTGTAACAAGGTGTTAAGGGGGGGGG